CCCCCCCCCCCCCCCCCCCCCCCCCCCCGGTAGTCCTAGGCATCGATGGTCTGTCCGGGCCGTGACGCAATCTTTCCGCGCCGGGGGCGGGATGAGCTTGACGCCATCTCCGGGCGCCCGCCTTGGGGGGGGCCGCTGGGTGTGGGGCGGCTCCGGGGCCGGGGATGGCGGCGGCCGCGGTTGCGGCGGCTCCGGGACGAGTGGGAGGATCCCGGAGAGCGCTGTGAGATGGGCCGGTGAGTGTCGCCGGGAGTGGTGGCTGCCGGACCGGCCTTACGGAGGCCAGGCAGGCCTGGGCTTGGAGCTCCGGAGGAAGTGGCCCCCAGGAGCCCGATGCCCCGTCGGGCCGGGGCCTGAGCACCACGGACAGAGAGAGCAAAAGAGTCCGCGCCTAGATCCCCGCGCGCTTCTCTCCGGCCGGGTCCGGAAGGCGGCCTCAGGGCCTGGCGCTCCCGCGGCTGTGTCCCCGCGGGCCAGGGTGTCCAAGTCCCCCAGGCTGAAAGGGACCCCAAGCAAGGTAGCGTCGCTTGCGGGGCCTCTCCCCTACCCCCTTAGTGAAGGGTCGACCCTCCTCTCTCTAAACGCAGAATTCCCAATTTCGGGCCCTACCCTTGTTGGAACAAGGATAGCGGGATCACGGGAAGTCATAAACCCTAGTCTTCCAAGCTTCTCCCTTTCTGTCGGGCGCACCTCTAAGCCCTCTGCAAATTGAGGTCTCCGGCTGTGTTCAGCCTCTTGATTCTGACTCAAGCGTAATGAGGACCTTCGTTCGGGCTCCTGTCAGCAGCTCTTCGGAACGGCCCGTTATCTCATTTGCGGTCAGAAGCTGCGTCTTCCCCTTGAGAAATCCTCATTGAGCTTCTCCAGGGACCGAGGGTTCACATTCCAAAATGTGTTTTGCGTTGTGGGAACCTGGCGAACAGGCTTGGCGCTTTGTTGTCCTTCCCGCAGACCTTTTGCCTCTTTCAGGCCTTTTATTATCCTGTGTTTGCTAACCCCTTAGTGACCTAGAGGCAGGTTTACTTTAATGTTTTAGTTGCATCTGAGATTGAAGATGTGACCCCAGTTTCTGTTGGGAATGAAGGAGAAAACAGCTTTTCTGTTACTGATACTGCTGGCGGAGTAGGGATGTGTGACTAGTGCCCTTTGTATAATTTGTATTTGTAGATAAGGAATTTGTCTTTCTACCTTGTTTTTCTATCGTTTCACCTTTCGTGTACACACGCACTTTGCCAATCTTGAGATAAACGCTGCCTTTCAGTTGTGACTGAGGTTTGCAGTGTTCTGTAGGACTTGGACAGGACAGTCAGTAGTTTCTCAGAGTACCCATCAATACTACTTTCTCTGTTTCAGAGGTTGAGGCTCCATTCTTTAGTGTTTGATGATTCTGGCAAGTGTAGATTCAGATATTGATAGTTTAGTGTAACTTAGTGATAGTTTTGTTTCCCCATTGTTAGTTACATGAGGACCAAGGCAATGTTTTCAGTTTCTGTCATACCTGATTCAGTACTTGGTATAAAGTTTTCACTCAGAAAATTTTACACATATACACACTGGAGCTGTTTTTTTTTTTTTTTTTTACCCTGGAAACCTATTAATAAGTCTTCCCTTTAGTGACACCCCCTTGAGTGACTCTCCCTTGACCTCTTTTTCTGCCCCAGAAACGTAAATGATTGTTCTTTTTCCTCTAGTGCCGATTTGCTCATTTAAATAACCTCCACATCTGTGTTTTCATAGGCCCTGTATAAAGGTGAAATACATGAAGTTGATTTTTCCTGCCTGTCATTGTTCACATGGGAACAATGCTAACTATTCCATTTTTATTTGTGCGTTTAACTGAAATTTGGATTGGAAGTAAATTTAACCTTTGGGAAATGGAAACGGGTAGAGAATGAAGAATATGATGTTAAGGATAAACAATGAAATTTGATATATGGAAATTTTTTTCCAGGGATGTCTTCTTACAAATTAGAGCTTAGGAGATGGCTTTTTCTCTGTTCAACTGCCTGGATAAATGTGCTGTTACCTCTGGAGAAGAGGACGAGGCAAGGACTTGTTGTGGAATGTCTTTGTGGCTTTGGAATTACCTTTCATGATGACCCTGGGGAGGGTCAGAGGTCAGGCTCCTGCTTACTCCATTTCTACTTCTGTTTTCTAGGCTCCCAAGCCAGCCGGGAGGACACTTACTACAGCTGCTCAGAAGCACCAGTGGAAGCTCAGGTAATACAGGCACTTTGGATTCCTTGTTGCAGAAACACTCCTAGGATGCAACAGTGGAAAAAACAGAACAGAATGTTGTTTCATAGAAAGCTCTGGAGCCTAATTGGAAGAAATAGGTGACAAAGTTCATATACATTGCAGTGTTCAGACCAAAAAGATGCTTTTTGACAATGAACAAAAGCATTTGTGAAAGGTGACAATGACAGAAAGGGGAGCAAGAACTTTCTTACGAATTATACAGACCTAAGATAGAAATAAACAGGTATGTTTAGAGTAGTGGACCCAGGATTTTATGAAGTAGTGCCTAGAGTGTATTCTACAATGGAAAAAGAGCCATTGGCAAAAAAAGGAAAAAAAAAAAAAAAGAGGGAATGAATGAAGAAGTCAAATTGAAGGTTGTCAATGAGAAGAGAAGACGACTTGCCAGACTAGGGAACAGGAAGTCTCTGTGAGGTCAGAAGAGTTTTGTTGTTCTTTGGGGAAGAGAAGAAAGAAATAAGTTGTAGAGCAAGATGGTATAATCATTCTCCCTATAGGGCCCAAGTTGGGATGTAGTGGGGTGAAGAAGATGCTAGTTTTCATAATATGTTTAGGGAGAAAGTTAAAAAAAAAAAAAAAAGGCTACAAGCAGACTGCAGGACTTACTGACACCTGGGTCCTTGACCTCAAGGTGATACGAGGCAAAGGAGGATGAGAGTTTAGCCAGCTTGGGGTGGGAGGGATGGTAGTAGGTGCGATCATAACCCAAATTAGGCTGAAGAAAGGAAGCAAGGATGAGGTCATACATTCAGGGAAAGAAGAGAGCACATTAGTCTTTGGTAGCTAAAGGGGAAACTTAGGAAAAAGAGCCAGTGGCAAAGACCACGTATTCAAAGCCTATTTAAGGTAGAAGGCTGAGAAGAGTGTAGGTGCTCATGAGAAGCATAGCTAATGGTGAAGCTGTTGGTTTCTCTGAGGTCATGGAGCCCACAGCTAACTTATGCATCATTGAGTACA